ATGCGCCTAAGAGACAGAGCAAAGTCAAAATTCAGAAGGACAGGCAATGTCTCACATTGGAACTATTACAAGGACTTGCGAAACTTTACTACTAATGCTATTAATAATGAAAAGAGAGCTTATTTCAAATACATTTTAACCAAACGCGACTCTAAGCAGAGATGGGGTGGTTTGAAACATTTGCAAATTAATTCTATGACTCTTAATAACAGTCAATTATCCACACAGTTGCAGAATCCTTGACGACATTACGTTGGGCGAGACTGATGATTGCTATAAAAAGTTTGCAGCTTTCACTTCCAATGTATTTTCATTTCGTACGGTTACCACGTCTGAGGTTATGGAAGTTATTTCAGTGATAAGAAATCTTCAATGGGGAGTAACTTGGTTAGTATTAGTATGCTTCGGGTGTGTTGCCCTGTTATTTTGCCGTATTTGACACACATTTTAAATTCTTGTTTGGTTGAAATTATTTTTCTTGATCAATGGAAACGGGCTGTTGTGGTTCCATTACCAAAGAAAAAGAATCCAGTTGATTATGGGGACTTGCGTCCGATCAGTATTTTGCCAACTATGTCTAAAATCTGGGAAAAGGTAATGAAAAATCAATTAATCCCTTATATTGAATAGAACAACTTGTTACCAGTTCAGCAATCTGGTATTCGTGCTGATCATAGTTGCACTACAGCAAAGCTAAGACTCACTGATGATGTTTTGGCTGCAGCTGACAAAGGTATGCTTACAGCGGTGGTACTTCTGGATTTTTCTAAGGCATTTGACACACATTTGTATAATGGGGTTGTTGGGACTAGGTCGTGGCACTAATACAAAACTACTTAACAGGTAGATCACAAAAGGTAAGAGTTGGTGATCGGGAATCGCAAGAAGTTATTGCTGGTTCAGGTGTTCCGCAGGGTTCTCTTTGCACTCTACACTTCTAGTTTCGCTGCCAACTTGTCCTCTTCTAATATTAATATGTATGCTGATGATATTCAAATATACCAATCATTTCATCGTGGCGAGAGTCATGATGTGGAGACAAATTTAAATAAAGATTTACAAATTATCCATAAGATTGCTAATTTTCATCAATTGAAGGTTAACCCTGTCAAATCTATGCAATGGATATGCTTTGGAAGTTCTGTAGAGAGTGTTCATATTGATCTAAATTTGGGAAATATACCTTTGCAGCGTGTGGATAATGTGAAGTGCTTGGGTCTAACACTTTATAATAGCTTTAGATATCGTGTTCACATTAATGATTATATAAAGAAAGCTTATTTCTATCTTAGGCAATTATATCCTTATAGAGCTTATTTGTCATATAATATCAAAAAACGATTATGTGATGCTTACGTCTTGTCACAATTTAATTATATGGCACCCATTTACCACGCAGCGATCGACATAGATACGGCTTATCGTATTCAGAAAGTACGAAATTGCTGCCTTCGTTACATCTTTGGTATCAGGAAGTATGACCGAGTATCGCACAGGCTGAAGGATGTGAACTGGTTAAAAATGAGTTCTAGACGTGAACTACTTATTTTGTTATTGTTTCACAAAATAATCACGACACGGATTCCATGATACCTCTATGACAAAATTACATTTAAGTCAAATGACGGAAGATATCCAACCAAGTTTTGTCGTATAATCATACCACCTAAATATAGAACATCATTGTTCCAGCGGTCTTTCACATACCATGTCTATAAATCTTACGGAAGCTTACCTATCTCGATCTGACAATTACGTATGTCTAGTTTTAAAAGATGGGTATTTGAAAATAATGTGACTTAATATTATAACAACTAATGTACAGTAAAACAAAACAGTATTGAGTCCGGACTTAAAACCTAAATATTGGATATCTTTTAGAGCCAAAGAGTATTAAAAACCATTAATACTATTTGGTTCTGTTTAATAGAGGACTTAATATCAATAATCTGCACCTATCTAGCTAACGGGAAGAAACTTGACTTAATACGCGTCTCCATTGGAAAAAGCGGGAAAAAATACTTAAAGGTCAATCAAAACCTCAAAAATTGAAACAAATTGACTTAATACTGTTTGGCTCTAAGGCTGATATAAGTTACCATAAAATGTGATGAGCAAATGCTGTGATTCTAAATGCAGACAATAAGCAGGCATAATAATAAATTCAAAGACAAAGTACACTAATTGTAAGAAGAAAAAACAAGAATTAAAAGTAACACCAGATCAGTTTGTTTCCTTTTTGGCTTCCGTAGAATATGATCAAATAAACATGACTGACGAAAGAAATGTTTTGTATAGCAAACAGTAGTTCATACTTTTTCAGACCTACTGACAAAAACGAGGTTACCGCTGTTTATGAGGTTTTTGTGAAACATAATAAGATGAAAAAATCAACAAACAATGCAAAAACTAACACGATAAAAGTGTACATACAATGCACTTGCGTTAAAGAAATCAAGTAGGAGTTGCAAAAGGATCCATACAATGAGACTGATTCATTGCTAGCAAAGTTCGTACAGGCCAAAGAAACTTTTTAGTGGAGATATAAGCTCCATATTAAAAGAAGTGAGCGAAAACCCTAGAGTTAGCACACCAAAATTAGCTGACCACATCTTGAGTGTACCTATAAGTCTGTACATCCAAGAACCGTACAAAGAGTTCTACGGGATAATGGATTTTTCAGCAGAAAACCGCTGATTTCAGAAAAGAATCGTCGTCTTTGACTAGAATTTGCTCAATCTTATGTCGACAAGGGAATGGATTTCTGGTCCAAGGTTTTGTTTACTGACGAGTCGAAGTACAACCTTTTTGGAATTGATTTGGAGGAAACAAAACACGGCAAAACAAAATATAATTGAATGGTGTATGTAGACTTTTGTCCGCCGCTGTATATGGAATTTCGACGGCTTTTCTAAAAGTCATACCTGCGATGGCAGAATGTATAACATATTTAAAAAATGCATGTTTGAAACATGGTGTTTTTTCTGACGAGTTAAAAGTTGCTAAAATATGTCCTATCTACAAAAAGGGACATTTGGAGAATCCAGCAATCTATAGACCAATAGCGATTCTGCCTGCAATTTCAAAATTTTCATCCTAGATATAAAAGGGCGATCTATTACTAGTGAAGACCATAGAATCTATTATCAAGGCAATCGATAACTTCATATTTATCTAATGGGACACAAACGATAATAATAGATAGAACTCTGTCTAAAATGTATGATATTAATGTAGGAGTGCCATAAGAGTCCATCCTAGGTACTGTTTTGTTCGTAATCTATGTTAATGAAATTCCTTATTCTGTGCCTAATGACAGTGTGTGATTGTACGCGGATGACATCACTTTTATATCAATTCATCATTGGATGGTCTGCGAAATAAAACCCATCAAACATTAGTAGCTGCAAAGGAATGGTTTTGAGCAAAAGGGCTAAAACTAAACGAAGAAAAGACATTCTCAAAACAATGTCGGGACAGAGCAGAAAGAGTTTTCCTTTTTCAAAAAGGGCACTGAGGGTGCTATGCAATCTTAAATCCAATCAAAGTTGCAAACAATATTTTAAAGAGCAACGTATACTTACCCTATATTCAGTATATTATATATATATATTATGTTATGGTAAATATGATTAATCTGTAATTATGCATAATCACCACTAAATTTAGTAAATATAATAAATTTTTGATAATTTACCAAATTAACCGGTTTGTTTGCATAATTTCCAACTCGTAATGGTAAATTGGATAAAAGTCCCTAACTTTACGAAAATCCGTTCAGTTTGTGCAACTGCTTGGCTTCTATCAACACGTGACAACCACGTGATTTCAGTAGTAGGTCTCATTTCGTTGCATCTAGACGTTTTTTCGCTACCCTCTCGTATTTTATAAAATATTCAATAATGGCTGGTATGCTTGAGCGTTTTAATTCCAAATTAATTAATATTATGGATACTAAGAAAGCAAACAGTGGTTTTCTGACGAAAGAAAGATATCTTGCTTTGTTAAAAAAAGTGAATAATAGTAAAAACAAAAGTACTGGGAAAAACTGGAAGATTATCAAAGACTAAACGATACGATGTAATGAAAGTAGGCACTACTAAAGGTAGTAACTAAAGGTAGCTCCAATGTTAGATTTTACGTGTACTTTGAAGAAGTTTGTATCATAATTTAAGAGGTACAGTTATTAATAGGCCGTGGTGGTAGAAACAGGATGTTAAAAGAACTTCAAAAAAAAGTACAAAAACATTATTACATGATTTACTTAAAATTGTGTGAAAGTTGGCAAAAAAAAACCAAGGTACCTAAGAAACGACTTGTTGTTAGGCCAATGGTCTTTCAAGAGATGAACTCAAGATGCCAGGTGGACCTAATATAACTTTAAGTTTATATTAGTCTATCAAGACCACTTGACGAAGTTCGTACAGTTGCATGCCAAAAAAAGTAAACGTACAGAGGAGGTTGCATATCACGTAATTGATATTTTTACTATATTTGGAACTCCCAGTGTACTGCAAAGTGACAACGATCGTGAGTTTAGTAAGAAAATCGTAGAAGAAGCTTGTGCAATGTGGCCGCATCTGAAAATTGTGCACGCAAAACCTAGGCAAAGCCAGACTCAAGGTTCGGTTAAACGTGCAAACCAGGATATTGAAAATATGCAAAGTTCTTGTTTGGAAAGCAATCACACCACTAAATGATCCGAAGAGTTACGTTTTGTGCAACTTATGAAAACTAGAGCATTTCATGAAGGCATCAAGTGTTCTTCTTATGAAGCAATGTTTGGGACGCCTGCAAAATTTGTCTTCTTTCCCGAATGAGTCTATCGAACATCTTAGAACTGAAGAAGAACTTGAGGCATTAATCGAGACAGTTAATAAGGCTTCCGAAAGCACCAATAGCGAAATAGAAAATGTTTCTAATATGGACAATAACGATCTATCTCAATCTGAAGTTAATTTTAAGACTCAGAAAGAATATGGCCCTAATCCANACCGTTCATCGGATCTTTTTCTTGGGTTTCTGCGCGAATCGTTTCCACCTCAGTCCCCAATTCTTCGTCTTTCCGGCCCCCGTTCTTGTCGAATTAACACAACAAGTTACCGCTGCCTCTGGATTAAGCAAAGTTCATAAACTCTCTCGAGACTGATAGAACAGAATGTAACCGGTTTCCGATGATTTTTGCGTGTCGGACGTCAAACCATAAAAATCTTCTATTGTTGATGCATCAATTTTCTATTTTTATTTTATTATCATTAAGTTCATTTAATTAATATATTTTGGATACTTACATCTACTTGATCATCATCAAAAAGAAGCCAAAACCCGTGACTCTTTACTATACTGATATAATGCCCTCTATTTGGACCGCTTCCACAGTGAATAACCACAGCTATTAGGTCGTACAGTCTGTCTGGATTTACAGCATCATCGGACTAAGGGAATTTCGTTTAAGATTTATTTAACAGAGTCGATTTATCCGATTTACTCACCGTATTAAAAAGTCGTAACTCTAACGGAAATACAACTCTATGCGAAACTTTGATGTGCCTGTTGTACTGTTCCATATATTTGAAGCGTTTTAGGTGTAGGGCTAGGATCATGGGCAGTTTCTTCACCCGGACCCTTTTTTGGGCCTCCTGGTAACTACTGCAGTTATCACACTTAAACTTGTTATCACTACACAATGTCTCCGTATTACTGAAACACTTTAAACAGTGCGAGATACTAGTGTTTTGTTCAATGTCTACTTGAAGGTCGAAGAAATCTTCATCTTTGCTGCTTACCGTCTCGCAGTTTAAACACCGAGTTTCGCTCGTCATTATACCCTATTTAAAACACCGCCAAGATTATTTTTATAAAGATAATATTAAAAATGTTTACCTGAAATATTTCGTGAACCCAAGTAGGTTCGGGCGGATTATGAATAATACCATTCTCCCCCGAAGCTTTCGTTTTAATATTATTCGCGTTCGCGTTCGTAGTGACCACCGTAGTCGCATTCGTTGAGGTGGAATTCTGTTGTCGTTCGGCGAGGATAATTTCGCTGATCCGATTAATGAGGAAATTGAGGAACTCGTGCGCGTCCTGCTGCATGTAATTGTCAAACTCCTCCTTTTCTTTTCGTAATCGCGCGATAAACTTTTTCGGTGCTATCGAACCGACCTTTTTCTTTTGCGTCGCGATGCTGTGAAAGAGATCGGCCAGACACGTGAGCAGAGTCTCTTTCGTTCGTTTATTTTTCGCTTTGTACTCCAGCACTTTCTCTCTGAACGGCTTACAAAAGTATAATGCTTGAAGAACTGAGTTACTATAACACGTATTGCCAAACTGAAAAAAAGAAACATACAATATTTTTAATAGCTGTTATAGATAAACAGAGATGATTTGTCTAAAAAGTTATTTGATTAAAGATATAAAAAGATCTTGTGCGATCTTTATAAGTCGTTAGTCTGATGGGCAGTAACTCTCAACCAAGTAAATTTGATGCATGTTTAGACAATTTTCTCTCGGCCAATCGTCTTGCGTCATTACTGAACTAGGTCTGTTAGATCACAAGGCTTATCTCCTTTTTTGTTCTATAGTGGGCTGGGTGCACCCAATAAAAAGATTAAAGTAGCATATAAATCATTCACTCGGAATGGGTTAATAACGTTTCATGATTGTAATGAGTTGGACATGGAAGATAAGTTTCGTCGTTTTATCGATGTGTCAACAAATGCCGTCAATATTAACTTCTGTGAAAAGTTTACTGGTTTAATTATGAGATAAAAATGGCAAGGGACAAACTACACTTGTTTTCTAACATCCAGACTTAATGCCACGTAAAAGACGGGAGCAACTGAAAAAATGTTTGCACTTTGCAGAGGAATTTGCTAAAATTTCGAAGGGGTATAACGAGAGAAATCTATAGAAGAGTGTACAGAAAAGCCTTAAAACCTCTACCAAATGTCCGTGCGTTTTTGCGTTATAATAATAAATGCCTTTATTAGAAAATAAGCTTAATTGTACAAAAAAAACATACAAAAGAAAATAGGCGAGTTCCAGCTTGTACTAGTTAGTACAGCTGCTCTAACTAACCTAAGAAACAAAAAAAGAAAAACATGACTCGGCCAAAAATTAAAAAGCAACAGCTAGATACAACAACAAGATTGCAAAACATGTCAGATCAGCGTTTGCCCCCATGTAGACATTGTTCAAGAAAACAAGAATTTTTCGGTGTAAATTTAAACCTTCCTAGTGAGAACCCTTTGCAATTATCGTCCACCTCATTATATTTCGAAGTTATTTGAAATATGTATGACCGGTCTTCCGCGAAATCACGTATTTATTCGGTGAACATCATTTCGGAAAGTTATCAGTTGGTAGAGATACTGTGGTTCCTTATAGTTTATAATTTTATGGTATACGATAGTTAGCCATTACGCCTCCTTCAATTTATAAGATATTCTGTTATATTTTCTAATTCCATATATGTATATACCGAAGACACGAGTTTTGTACTCGTTGAATACTGTTGAGTACTCGGCTGAGGCTTCGCACATCTTTTTCAGATGAATACCAAGGTAGTGTCGATGAGGAAACAACATCCTCAGATGATAATAAGCCCTGGATATATAGTTGGAGACATGCTTCTTATAGCGAAAACTGTTATCCATAATCATACCCAAATTCTTTACCTCACTAACTAAAGGAATGTTACAACCATCAATTTGCAAATCAATACTTTCCCGAAAACCATTACATATAGCAGAATTTCCAAAAAGTATAGCATTGGATTTACTCGGATTAAGATGTAGACCGTATTTCCGAGCCACTTTATGAATGTAATCAAGGTCTTTTTGCATATTCGTAATACCCAACGCGTGGATCAAAGGAAACATACATCTGCAAATCATCCGCATACATATGGTACTCACAATGATTTAACCCCCTAACGATTTGAGATGTATATAAAGAAAATAGAATAGGCCCTAAAATAGTACCTTGTAGTACACCCTTGCTCAAACAGCGAAATTCAGACAAAGCATCACCGATTCTAACCGACTGATGCCTATTACTTAAATAATTTTCAATTAAGTTTAAAGCGGATTCACTGAAGCCAATATACTTTAACAATTCCACAAGCAAGTCATGACAAACACTATCAAAAGCTCTACTAAAATCCAACAAGACTACCAACGTACATAATCCTTTATCTCGAGCCTGTAAAATATCATTAGTTACCTTGAGAAGAGCAGTACCGCAGCTATGGTTTCTACGAAAACCAGATTGATGCTTCGGTAAAATATTATTAATTTGAACAAATTGATGCAACTGATTAAACATAATTCTTTCCAGAACTTTAGATAAAATTGGCAATATGCTAATCGGCCGCAGATCTTTAGGCTCAGATGGGTCACGTTTTTTCGGGATAGGAACCACAATTGACAACTTCCAACAGTCAGGTACATCCGAAGTTTCAATGCAAACATTGAGTAAATGTGTCAAGTAGGGTAATATAAATGGAAGACACATATTCAACATACTCATACTGATATTATCAGCACCGGCAGCTCTAGAAGAAATTGAGGAAATAGCTTTTATTACATCAGCTTCGGATACAAAGACAAACTTAAAATTAGTTTGAATCAAATTTAAAGGCGGTAAGTCATTAAAACTGAAACGCGTTGCAAGGTTCAAAGAAGGGACTGAATCAATAAAGAAATCGTTAACCTCATCTGGTCGATTCAAGTGAGCAGGGATTTGCTGTGAACATTTCGTACCACAAATACCCAAATGATTCAATTGTTTCCACAGTTCAGCACCCCGAGACGTCTGATATAAAAATTCCAGATATGATTTTCTTTCTCTTCTAATGCAGGTTGTAGTAAAATTCCTCAGCTCCTTATAAGCAACCCAATCAGCACCTGAACGAGTACGCTTGTATTTATTCTTTGCCCTATCACGTTCGTCCATAAGCAATTTAATATTTGGTGTTAACCAAGGTACGACCTTTTTGGTAAACCTNAAGCCTGTGACGCGGTATATATTCACACGAGATGCCTTATTTAAAGAAAAATGCTGCTGCAAATCTGAGGACACAGATTTGCGCTTTGTATAATGCCAATGGTGACTGGCGTAATCTTGCAAACGTACTACAGGTGCCAAAAAGAACCGCGTATCGATGGGTTAACAACCAAGAACAACCGGAAAAGCAGCGAGGAGGTAAACGTAGAGCTAAAATAACTGATGAGCACCGTCAATTCATGGAACGTTCAGTCGAAGAAAATCCTAAAATTACTCTTAAAGGACTGAGTGAAAAAATCCGTGAAGATTTTGCACTCAATGTCTCCAACGAATGCGTTCGACAGCATCTCAATGGATTGATGTTTACTTTGAAGACTGCTCGTAGAGAACCAGAGAACGCGAATAGTATTCAAACGAAAACAAGCAGGAGTATTTATGTAGAAAATTTATTGGATCTTCAAGCACAAAATATACCTATCATATACATGGACGAGACAAACTTTAATTTGTTCATATCGCGGACTCAGGGTCGTTCAAAAAAAGGGACTCGCTGCACAACAGTGTCTGCAGGTTGCAGAGGGTCGAATATTCACCTAATAGGATGCATTGGAAACATGGGGCTAATTCATTCCGAACTACGTCGGGGCTCTTTCAAGAAGCCGGAAGCAAATGAATTTGTGAGGCAATGCCTAAGAGCGCAAGGGCTTTACCAAACTGGAGTTGCATTAGTTATTGATAATGCTCCATGCCACTCTACTATTGAAGAGGTTTTTGCAGAAACCCACACTCTTTTACGACTAAGTTCCTACAGCCCTATGTTTAATTCTATTGAACAAGCGTGGTCTGCATTAAAAGCAGGAGTAAAAGCAGATATGGCTGTACAGCTAAATAACATCTTGGC